AAAAGATAAATTAATATTTTAACCTCTTCTTCTCCAAAGAGAATTTGCTCTTTATATTGAAAAATCTCTGTTATTGTAACAAATAAAGAAGAGTATTTTTTTTAAATGTTGAAGATATATCACAACAGAGACCGATTGCAATATACAAATCTTTGAGTTAGGTTAGTATTAGGCAAGTCTTTTCATAAGCTTTGTGGGTTCATTGAAAAGTTGCATTTGAATAAACCACACACTGTCGGTTCGAAATTTGGCATTCATATCGGTATTGGTTCGTAGCCGTGTGAAAAGTTATCTTAGAAATTAGTACCAAAAGGTACTAAAAAGTACTAATCGCGGGAAGAGGTAAGATGTATAATTTTGAAGTTTAGTATATAGCGTTCTCTATGAACAACAGAATCGTATATGCACAAGAATGTTCCAGAATATAAATAGGAAGGTCCCTGTTTTTTAGGAAAGTCCATACACATCGAATTGGAAAAGATATGTACAATTTCCGAGGAGAGAGGATATCAAAACCTCTCCAATGAGGAGTGGTGGCTAATATAACACTGCCGTAAATGTGAAGGTCCCTGAAATTTTCCATAAAATGTATTATATATACTAGAAAGAGGACTGCAAGATCATTCTAATGATGATTCGCTGATAGATAGTGGTTCAACCATTTAGGAGTGGTGGATAATTAAAAATGGCGTAATATAACCCTTAAACCGGTGACCATTACCTTTAACCCGGATTAAGTCTTAATGACCAGAATCCTTTTAAAATGTTACTTAGATCACAAGGACTTCCTATAGCAGAAAGTAGGATCTACCATTATAAGAGCAGACTAGGTCTTCCGATTTAAGACCCAAAAGAATTTTTACAATTAAAAAATGTAAATAATTTTGTAGATGATCGGAAGGATTTTTTATGGTAGATTATAATGATTTCAGATAGTTAAACAGCTATTAAGAAAATGAAATAAAGTAGTTTTTAAAACGAATCTCAGAATATAGAAACTAAGGTTGTCTTATAAAAGTATAGAAAGTGTACCAGATGTCGTGTGATATACGACGAAATGATTTTCTTATAGATGCCAAGAATATCTACCCTTTCTTAAGATATTGTTGTTGATGATCATAAGGACGACTTCAAAAATAACACCAGATGCGCTTCTTACAGAACACAGGAAATTCGCCTCATACCTTCTTAATTTTTTAAAACATGTTTTCTTTTTGTGTTCCTTTGCCATAATCGGGCAGACTTGGATTTTTCGGTGTAACATTTGTATAAAATTCAGCAAAATGATGAATGAGCCCTATATGTAAATCTGGATCGATTTCAACAAAACTTCACAGACGTCAAATGGTACTGAATTCACTACGCTGTGCAAATTTTTGTTTCAATCCGGCAAACCTTAGAAGTTCGGTGTACCATTTACATTAAATCGGACGAAACTATATGGGAGCTATATTTAAATCTGAACCGATTTCAACAAAACTTGACATATATCAATCTAGACCTAATTCAGAACTCTGGACAAAATTTTGACACTATCGGACCAATATTGGGAGTTTGTTGCACCATTTACCTAACATCGGAGGAAGCTATATATAAATCGAAAAAACTTCACAGACCTCAAACTGGACTTATTTCAGTAAGCTATGCAAAATGTTGTCTCAATCAGGCAAACCTTGGGAGTGTGGTGCACCATTTACAATAAAATCGGACGAAACTATATATGGGAGCTATATCTAAATCTGAATCGATTTTAACAAAAATACACACACATTAAATTGGACTTAATTAAGTCCGCTTTGCAAGATTATGTCTAAATCGGATAAATATTGGGAGTTTGTTGCACCATTTACATAAAATCGGTCGAAAATATATATGGGGGCTATATCTAAATCTGAACCTATTTTCAAGAAATTTTACACACAAAAATTCACACACATTAAATTGGACTTTGGTGCACCATTTACATTAAATCTGACGAAAATATATATGGGAGCCTAAATCAGAACCGATGCCATCAATTTCAATAGGGTTCGTTATCAAAAACTTGCACTTTGTTTAAAATTTAACATGGACAGACGGACGGACATGCATTAATCCACTTAGAAAGTAAGATTTACCATGTGTCTATCTCGATTCCTTTTGCCTGTTACAAAAATATGCACAAAGACATAATACCCTGTACCGCAGTGCGGTGAAGGGTATAAATAGGGGGTTATATGCGGATTACCCCTAAAAGGCGAGGAATATTAATAATTTTTGGCAGCTATATTCGATACCATATACGACTACAAAATACCAAATTACAGCGAATTCGGTTGAAAAATGCGCTCAAGAACCCCAAGGGGGATACTCTTATATAGGAGCTATGTCTAAACCTGGACGGATATACCCCATCTCCCCTCCATACTATGGAGGGTATATTAAATATTTGTTTTATATGTTGGATTCTGGCCAATGTAAAGATCGATTAATATTTTTGGCAAAGATCGGTCAATATTTAGAGGATGAAATGGTCCAAATACTTAATTTTTGTTGGTTTTTCTGGTCGATCCAGAGGCCCGAATATCGCGAAATTTTACATGAAGAAGAGGATCGGGCCAAAGAATGAGCATGCCTGTTCTGACAAAGATCAGTCAATATTTAGGGGGTCAAATAGACGCAGATTTTGTGTGAAAAATTACAAAAGTTGTATTCTATGGCGTATATATTTCCTCCTGAAGGACATAGGCCCGAGAAGTGTATAATATTTTCAAGAGGAGTGGTTGACCATTAAATTGATACCAATTATATTATCGTATGCACTCGGATGTGGGAGTTACACTTAAAGATTTACAGGTGCTTACGTATTCATATATAAATTAGTAACCCATTACCACACTAGAGGGCGGAAATTTAACGCTGATCGATTTGCAATTTTCCATGAGGTTGTAGTTATGCAAGTTATGCAACGATGATCAGACAATAATCTTGAGATGAAGTGGGAAAATAGGTCACAATTATAAGCCTACATAAGGGAATCTGGAAGGGCTGTACTGACTGAATATTAGTAATATTCGGAAACTATGTCAGTGTAAGGAAGAGGTACTGTTGACCTCTAATCGGGCAAGAAGATGCAAATATCAGAAATATTGCCCAGGCTCGAAATAAACTTCAGCAGAAAGTTAGAGTTCTTTGGTAGTTGTGTATGGTATCGTATGGTCGGCCACGTCCGACTATACTGCTCCGCTCACTAGTTTTTTATTTATTTTTATTATTATTATATATATATATGATTGTTGGTTTCCCTGCAATATGCGGAAATTGTGTGCACTATCAAAAAAGGAGTATCCCTTGTTATCCCACAAAAGGACTTTTTATGTAAGACCTTTGATATAATGTAGAGGATCGGCATACCTTATTTGTTCAATCTCAGCAATTTTGTTACTTTTGAAATAAAACATTGGTATTTTTTTATTTATTGTTATTTTTTCAATATATTATATATTTGTTGGTTTATTTAATTGTATTCTTAGTTTATAGTTTATTGCCTTAGAAAAACTATATCGTTTGTTTTGTTTCTTATCTTTTAGATATCTTAACGAAAGGAGATAGTGAGATAGATAGAGCTATATAGTATAGAGAGATAGATATAATATGTAAGAGCAAAAACAAAAAGCCTGCTCTCCTCCAAAAAATTGGTTCAGTGGTTGGAGGAGCCAAATTCGACTTTTCCTTCTTACTTCTTTCATTTGTTTTGCGTTCTATATAAATTGTTTTTACTTGTTGTTACACAAATAGATACTTCTTATGCACACAGACACATACGTACTTAAACATTACTACATTAGGAGTATAAATTAATACATACATATTGTAGTGTTACTTTTACTTCATTGTTGTTTAATTTATTTCGTTTCTATTATGCTGTTCGTGGGTGTTCTGTTTGTTCTTTGTTTTTTCTTTTCATGGAGGGGGATATTTTTGTTTTATAGATTAATACACCTTTTACGCCTGCATTTTAGGTGAAAGGTGGAATCACGAAGTATTCTATCCTCGATTTTTTTATTTTAATTTTGTTTTTGGGATTGTCTACAAACAGATCATTATTTGGAAAGAAAAAAGGAACCTTGTTTTGTGTTTTCGATTAAATTAAAAAATGAACACAAAAAAGAAAATTTGAGAAATTAAAGTATAATAGGGGGGAATTGTATTTTTTTCTTTTTTGTTTCTCTGAGAGATGATGAGTGAACAAACACTAACTAACTTACAAACTATTGAAACACAAAGCGTTTGCTAAAATTATCTATTAAATTAATATGTATCGCGCGTTGTTTTTGTTTTTATTTTTAATACGTTTCACAATGTTGTTTTCATCATTCTTTTCTTATTGTTGTTTTTTGTTGCATATGAAAATAATAAGTATAGAGAAATAAGATTAAAGCCTATATCATAAAACAGTTCAAAGAAAATATCTACAGTTAAATACGATTATTTGCTTTTCATATATATGTATGTATGTAAACGTGTTGTAACACCTTACAGGACTTTTTCGAGTTGTATTATTTTTGTTTTTGCCGAATTGATTGTTGGTTTTTTGTTATATACATTTTCTGATCATGTCTCTCTGATTCTCTCTGCATGTTCTCCTGAAAATGCCTTTGCTTCACAGTTTTAATAAAAACTCTTCTAACAGCAAAAGATTTTTGCCAAAGAACAAAGAACCTCCAAGAGAGTTAGAGAGACAATTCCAAAATGAAAACTTTCCATAAATATTTTTATTTTATTATTAAGTTTTGATGTTTACGATTATTCGTTGATTGTAACTTCGTGATTCTATATTTATGATTGTTAAACGAATTCGTTTACGATCGTTACTACACATAATATTCAGGGGAAGGGGGTTTAGGAGGCGACTTTGCGGGATTGCTTGATACTTGTTAATCTTAAATTGTTATATTTTTAGTTTGATAAAGACAACAATAAGTCCTTGTTTTTGTTTCTACATAATTTCATTCTATGACTTAATAATCTAATGCATATCAATGAACTTGTGCAACGTTGCCGGCACCATTCCCACAGCATAGCTGATATTATGTTTTCGTATTGTTTTCGCTGCCAAGCATGCCAGTGTTGTATACTTGAGAGTATTGACGGTTTCGTGTATCTTCTTCGGTTTGATAAGAGACTCGAAGGTTTCGCCAGCTTTGTTACGGGCATCCTGGAAGAAGAAAAGAAAAAATTGTTTAGAAAAATTTTCAAAGTCCAAAATAAGGCGATTTTTAAAAAAATATTTGTTCTAGGCCTCAGACAAGGCGTGGATTTTTAAAGAATATTTTTCTAGTCCTCAGACAAGGCGTGGATTTTAAGAGAATATTTTTCTAGGCCTCAGACAAGGCGTGGATTTTTAAATGAATATTTTTATTTCTTGGCCTTAGATAAATATTTCCTACATTTTCCTTAATGTAATTGTTAATCCCCTTATTCCAAAATTCCCCAAATACTCACTATATGCAAGGCGTGGATTTTTAAATGAATATTTTTATTTCTTGGCCTCAGATAAATATTTCCTACATTTTCCTCAATGTAATTGCTAATCCCATTATTTCAAAATTCCCCAAATACTCACTATATGCGCTCCATTATCCAATAAAATCTTCGCTATATGCGGCCACTTCGGATATACCATGGCGGCCAAATGCAACGGTGTATTACCAGCATCATCGGTTGCATTTGGATCAGCACCAACCTCCAATAAAGCTTTAGCCAAATAGGGTGAGGGGAATTGACAGGCCGGGTAACGACCCACCAGTGTACCTTCACGATAGCAGGCATAATGTAAAGCTGTACGACCAGATCTTACGGCCACATTGAGACGATTCAATCTGTAGAGAGCCTTCAGGATATCTCTTCGCATGTTCGGGCAACACGATTCATCATCGATTAACCATGCCAGGAGGCAGCCAATGTGTAAAGCACTGACCAAGGCTCGGCTTAAAGCATTCGGATCATTGTTGCAGTCGTGTAGAGATGCAACTGCCGCCGCATTGGCTGACTGTTGTTGGGGGTGCTGATGCTGCGAATTTCGGCGTGGATGTTCTTCAGCACTGGACGTTGTTGTTGTGGTTGCTGTTGTGCCGATTTTCTGTTGCTGTTCCATCGACCAACTTTGTCCTGCAAGTGAGGAGGAGGAGACGGTAGCAGCGGATTGCAGCTTTTGCTTTTGATAATGTGACAAACCTCGCTCAACCTCATCCACAGCTTTGCAGAAGATCATTAACATGTCACAGGCCTCAATGGACGGCACCACACGGCCACGTGGCAACAGACGGCCCGCCTCCATCATCATAAAACTGAAGAGTTCGGCAAACGAGAGCAGCGAAGACTGGGTCATGGGGCTAAGAGGTGGTAGGATTTTTTGTTGCATGGTTAGAGCATATGTCCATAGGTCAATGCACCGATCGAAACGACCTGCGTCGGCATAGTGAGCACCTCTGTGTGAAGAAAGAATAATACGATAAATATTTGATTCCAAGGATCTCTCATTAGGAGGCGATTATACTTACCTAAATCTAATATAGTAACTAGTATCGGGATGTGTAGGACCCAATATCCTTTGCCTTATAACTAATGCTTGCATACGCATTTCGTCCGGATCTAAGACTAATTCTTCCAACTCCTCTATGGTGGTGACTTCCGTGACATATTCATAGGCCGCAATGGGTTCCTGGATCTTTTTCGGTATCTTCGGTTCCAAGTTGCGCTCCTCCATGGCTCGCCGCCACAGCGACAAAGCACTGACCATATCACGTTTCTTATCTACATAGGTGGCACCGAGCAGCTCCAGGGCATCGATACGACTTTCACGTGTAACACAGGGCAAGGTTATCAAATGTTCAACAATGGGCACGTGACCTGTTACACTTGCTGCCAGCAGCGGTGTCATACCATAATAATCCACCTCCATTGTGGCACCATGTTTCAACAGCAACTGCAGTATTTCCAACGAACCCGATTCGGCGCAGTCATGCAGCGCTGTATTGCCCTTGACACTGCACCGATTCACATTGGCATTGAGCGACAACAAATACTGGGCAATTTTAAAGTGACCCTTATAGCAGGCAATCATCAGGCAGGTGTGTCCGTGACGATTTGCCACCTCAAAATCGGCACCATGTTGTATAAGGTATTTGACAATTTCAAAGTGACCATCAAAACAGGCGGCGCGCAGCGGTGTGGAATTTGTTCGCGTTGTACTGTTCACATTGGCACCGTGTCTAACCAGGAGCTTAACTATGCCCAGATGTCCGGCAGCTGAGGCACACCATAGTGGTGGGGCGTCTTCTATGGGTTCACCATCAAAACTAACAGAGCCGACTTGTTCGACATCAGCCTGACACCATGTCAATAAATATTCTACAATTTCACTGTGTCCATTTCGGCAGGATATGACCAAGGGTGTGGCTCCGTTAACTTTGGATGATATGAGCATTGATATCTCTGAAGCTGATCTGCCATTGAGAACACTCTGTAAGGAGAAGAAGAAAAATGGGAGATTAGTAAACTCTTAGAAAGAGAGAGAATAAGGAGGATATAAAAAATCATTGAGACCAAAATATGGCGCCCAATCAATGGGATTTTTATGGGAACTTTCGTCGCAAAGAAATAAAATTGCAAATTCCTCAAATAAAGTATAGATTCAAAATTAATTTGAAAATTAATTCCATTATTCGCAAAAAATCCCTTTAATTAAAATTTGCCACCCTACTGAATCAGTGTTAGGTAGCACAACTTTAAATTTAGAAACGATTTAATTTCCTTTACCTCATACCGAATTAATTCAATGGTGAATAATTTATGAATTGATTTCCATTCGACACAATCACAGTTTCTATAAGCAGAATTCTGAGTCACGTTTGTGTGATTTTTTGTTTTGTTCGATTTGTTTTCGTATTCAATGAGGGAAGTCTTGGATTATACGGATATGTGATAAGAACAATTTATGACGACACTTTCTCAAACCTCTTACGGATCTGAAGATAAAAAAATTTCCACCACTTTTTGTTAACAAAGATAAACATATAATTGAAGCGTTGATCATCAAAGGGACCTAAGTCAAAAATAAATGATTATTGTCTAAGGTGGATTTTTATTAAAATAAAAAATGTAAGGCCTCAAACAAGGCGGGGATTTTTTGAAGAATATTTTTTGCAATCCTCAGACAAGGCGTGGATTCTTTAAGAATATTTTTTCTAAGTCTCAGAGACAAGGCGTGGATTTTTTAAGAATATTTGTTCTAGGCCTCAAACAAGGCGTGGACTGTTTAAGGAATATTTGTTCTAGGCCTCAGACAAGGCGTGGATTTTTTAAAGAATATTTGTTCTAGGCCTCAAACAAGGCGTGGACTGTTTAAGGAATATTTTTTCAAGACCTCAGACAAGGCGTGGATTTTTTAAAGAATATTTGTTCTAGGCCTCAGACAATGCGCGGATTTTTTAAAGAATATTTGTTCTAGGCCTCAGACAAGGCGTGGATTTTTTAAAAAATATTTTTATAGGGCCTCAGACAAGGCGTGGATTTTTTAAACAATATTTTTATAGGGCCTCAGACAAGGCGTGGATTTTTTAAACAATATTTTTATAGGGCCTCAGACAAGGCGTGGATTTTTTAAACAATATTTTTATAGGGCCTCAGACAAGGCGTGGATTTTTTAAACAATATTTTTATAGGGCCTCAGACAAGGCGTGGATTTTTTAAACAATATTTTTATAGGGCCTCAGACAAGGCGTGGATTTTTATACCCTTCACCACACTGTGGTACAGGGCATTTATGATCCGATTTGGATGAAATTAAACACAGCTCACTTATTTGGCCAATGACGAACCCTATTGAAATTGGGAAAAATCGGTTCAGATTTAGATATAGCTCCCATATATATTTTCGTCCGATTTTATATAAATGTTGCGCCAACGGCCCTATATATCGTTCGATTTGCATGAAATTTGGCATAGTGTACTGAATTAGGTCTAGAATAGTGTGTGTGAAATTTCCTGAAAATCAGTTCAGATTTAGATATAGCTCCCATATATATTTTTGTCCGATTTAAAGTAAATGGTGCACCATAGTCCCTATACATCTTTCGATTTGCACGAAATTTGGCATAGCGTACTGAAATGATACTAGAATGGTATGTGTAAAATTTCTTGAAAATCGGTTCAGATTTAGATATAGCTCCCATATATATTTTTGTCCGATTTTATGTAAATGGTGCACCAAAGTCCCTATATATCGTTTGATTTGCACGAAATTTGGCATATCGTACTGAATTAAATCTAGAACGACATGTGTTAAATTTTATGAAAATAGGTTCAGATTTAGATATAGCTTCCATATATATTTTCGTCGGATTTAAGGTAAATGGTGCACCAAAGTCCCTACTGTAATTGCGTTTTGTTGAAATTGGTGCAGATGCAGACATAGCATAAATTTCGAACGGGTGCTGATTGAGATTAAATTTTTAACAGTGCTGCGTACCGAATAGCGTGTATAAATTTTGCTTTAAATCATTTTCAATAAATTTGTCCATGGTCTAAATCTGTCCGAATGGAATTAAATTTATCATAATTTGCAGAAAGACATGAGTATATTCCTTCGAGGGAACATTGGCATGCAATTGTAAGGATACATATGTACAATATACCCAAAGATACATATGTACAATATACCCATAGTCGGCCCAGTCCGACTTTACTACTTTCCTTACTGGCGTGGATTTATTAAAGAATATTTTTCCTAAGCCTTAAACAAGGCGTGGATTTTTTAAAGAATAATTTTCCTAGGCCTCAGACTAGACGTGGATTTTTAAAAAATAATTTTCCTAGGCCCCAGACAAGACGTGGATTTTTAAAGAATATTTTTTAGACCTGTTAATGCTTTACCCCCACACACCTCACACAATGACAGTGCAGATATGTCGCCATATTTTGCATTTGTTTTAAAAATAAAACAATTAGCCCATAAAAAACTGCCGGTTTATTTCATAAACAAAGTCATTAAGTGTTTAAATCGACTTGGAATTTTACTTCAATTAAGAATACCTATACATACATACAAATTATGTATATCTCATGAACCGCAAAAAAAATAATTTGGGCAAAGTAAATATCACCTCCATTCGAACGTGAGCTACACGTGATATATAAAATTATAAATTAAAAAATACCTACAGCGGATTTCCAACGTGATGGATTTTTGATATTTTATCTCAGTAATAATCAAAAACATTTTCCCATATTTTATTGGGCGAAATTTGGTCGCCACTTGAACCACTGTGAATTTTCTAAAAATACTTTCGTATAAACAATAGAATGACAACAACAAATATATATGGCACAAACAAAAAATATATATAAACAACATGTGATAGTAGTTGCGAAAAAAATGCCAAGACGAAAAAAATAGAAATGCAGTAGAATTTTGTGGCACTAAATTAAAAAAGAAACGTGTGTATATAAAAAAAATAATGACAAATCATTTAGAAATCCCAAAATCAAGCAATCAACCAATATGGGCGAGTGAACGAATCCTCAACTAGACAACTCAATGTTCTTGATTGTTTTTTTTTTCTGAACATAAAATAATAAAAAGTTATAAAAAAAGTTAAATGAGGAAATTTTTCTAATAAAGAACATAAATTACTTTCTAGTGATAGTTGGTTGTTCGACATGGCAACAAAAAAAAACATTTTTTTTAGAAAAAACAAAACTCCATACAGATATGCATTTTGACAGATCTCCAACAATATCTCTCTATGTTCGGCGGTATCTTTCGTCGACATGCATGCATATCGAATCAGGAAGTGTTTGTTTTTTCTGTTTTTCATTCCATTTCATCAATAGTTTTTTTTTTCGTGTTAATCATACGCAACTGGTAGCTGGTAGCCCGACAAACAAACCGGGAGGGCAGCAGCAGGTGGCATGCTGTTGTGTTGTGTAGACAGGCATTCAGATTTAGACATCCCTCAACATCTCGCAATCACAATTTGCATACATGATTTCTTTTTTTTTTATCAGATTCTCGTTTCAATATCGTATGACTTGATATGTGAGGTGTTTTTTATAAATATATATTTTTTTAATTTATTTATGTTCTGGAAGCATTCACTTCGCATAAACGCCACGATTTACTGGTTTGCAATTAATGACAATTTTTTTTTTTATTTTTGATTAGCAACACATGTGAATGGGAGAAATAAATAATTACAGGTTTATTTAAATATTTAATTTATTTTTCATGAATATTTTTCAAGGACAGAGTTTTTTAAAGAATATTTTTTTCAAGGTGGATCTTTTACAGAATATTTTGGAAAGGCATCAGACAAGGCGTGGATTTTTTAAAGAATATATTTACAAGGCCTTAGACAAGGCGTAGAATTTTTAAAGAATATTTTTTTTTCAAGGCCTCAGACAAGGTGTGGATTTATTAAAGAATATTTTTGATCTTTAAAAAATCCACACCTTCTGCAGTATATTTATTTTAAATATTTGTTTCAACATCCAGAAAAAATGTGTTTTTTTTTTTCTTCATCCCCCATATGACACATCGAACTATTGACATTTTTATACCCTTCACCACACTGTGGTACAGGGTATTATGTCTTGTGCATATGTTTGTAACAGGCAAAAAGAAACGAGATAAAACATGGTTCCTTTTGAGAATATGCATAGAATCACTTTCTGAGCTCCGATTTATGCATAAAGAGTGAAACTTGCTCGAATTCGAGCATCCTGTCTGTAGATGTTAAGTTTTTGTTAATCAAAAGAGCGCAAGTGCTTTGGTCGTATTCGATTGGGAGTGAAAGTCGCTCGAAATCCAGCAGATTCCACTCTTGTCGAGTACTCTTTTATAATTTTTTTTTTGAAACCGTTGTTCCGTTTGATGTTGTTTGTGTTCTTTGTTTGTTTTGTGATGTTTGGTTTGTAACTTGTCACATGTGTAATGATGTATATGATCTATCTCCCCACATCGCACAAAAGATCAACAACATTAACAGTTTGCTACTACGCACATACAAACAACCAAAAAATCAAATTTAATTGTCCACTCGATTTCACCCTTAGAGTGAACTCTTACTCTATTTCGAACGTTTTAACTCTCACTCTTTTTCTTCAATAAGGAGTACTCGCGAACACTCCCAAACAAAATAAAAGAGTGAAGAGTATACTCCTTACAAAACTCGTACTCTTCTCGTACTTCCACTCGGGAGTATTTTTCACTCGCGAGTAAAATCGAGCAAATCGGAGCTCTGCTTTCTGAGTCGATTTATGCATGTCCGTCCGCCCTTCCGTCTGTAGATGTTAAATTGTTAATCAAAATACAGGTCGCATTTATGACCCGATTTGAATGAAATTTGGCACAGCTCACTTATTTGGCCCAAGGACGAAACCTATTGAAATTGAAGAAAATCGGTTCAGATTTAGAAATAGCTCCCGTATATAGTTTCGTCCGTTTTCGTCCCAAAGTCCCTA